GCGCCGCCCAGGTGGCCCTTCCCGCTCAGGTGAGCGCCTCCCGCGCCTCCCATTGGCCGCGGCGCGCGCGGGGCCGGCGGGCGACGCAGCCGGGTCTAGTTCAGGGTCTAGGGCGGCGCGTCACTTCCGGTAGCGCGGAGCTTGTAAAACACCCTGGAGAGAAAATGGCGGCGGCAGCGGCTTCGTCGCCCCAGCAGCTCTCGGATGAAGAGCTTTTCTCTCAGCTCCGCCGTTACGGCCTGTCTCCGGGTCCCGTGACGGAGAGCACCCGCCCGGTCTACCTCAAGAAGCTGAAGAAGCTTCGGGAGGAAGAGCAGCAGCAGCACCGCTCAGGGGGCCGCGGCAGCAAGACGCGGAACAGTAATAACAATAACACGGCTGCCGCCACGGTCGCGGCCGCTGGACCGGCGGCTGCGGCGGCGGCGGCGGCGGGGATGGGGGTCCGGCCGGCGTCGGGCGACCTTGCCTTCCTGCGGACCCCAGGGGGCCTGAGCCGAGTCGCCGCCTCCGGGCCGGAGAGCCCCCCTGGAGGGCCCGGGGCCGCCGCGGCCGCCCCCGCGGCGGGCAGCAAAGTGCTGCTGGGCTTCAGCTCGGACGAGTCGGACGTGGAGGCCGGTCCCCGGGACCAGGCCGGCGGCGGCGGCAGGAAGGACCGGGCTGCGCTCCAGTACCGCGGGCTCAAAGCGCCGCCCGCGCCCCTGGTCGCCAGCGAGGTGACTAACAGTCACTCGGCCGAGCGGAGGAAGCCCCACTCGTGGTGGGGGGCCAGGAGAGCCGAGGGCGCCGAGCCGCAGACCCCATCGGGGAAGGACGCGGCGGCGGAGGACGACGAGGAGGAGGGCGACGACGGGGAAGACGGGGACCCCGAGGCCGAGGAGCCGCTGTGGGCGAGCCGAGCAGTGAACGGCAGCCGGCTGCTCCCCTACAGCTGCCGGGAAGACTACTCGGACTCGGAGGAAGAGGACGACGACGACGTGGCCGCCGCCAGACAGGTATTAAAGGACGACTGCGTTTCCCGGCATCGGCCCAGACGCAGCCATAGTAAGCCTCTCTCCCCGTTGACTGCTAAATCTGCCGGCAGCCGGCTGGAGACCTCAGTTCAGGGAGGGGGAGGACTTGGGATGAATGACAGGGCGGCGGCTGCCGGGAGTCTAGACAGGAGCCGAAACCTCGAGGAGGCGGCGGCAGAGCAGGAAGGTGGGTGCGATCAAGTGGACTCCAGCCCCGTTCCTAGATACCGTGTTAGCTCTAAGAAACTGGCACCTCTCCTGCCCCCGCCACTTCCCGACGTGGACTCAACCTTGGATACGTCTACAGGCTCCCTGCTTAAAACTAATAATCACATCGGCGGCGGTGGGGCCTTCAGCTTGGACTCCCCCAGGATTTATTCCAACAGCCTCTCTCCCAGTACTGGAGCCGCCCCTAGTGCACTCAGGATCAATCATGCCAACCACACGGGCTCCAATCATACCTACCTGAAAAACACATACAGCCAACAGAAGCTTTCCGAGCCAGAGGAGGAGCTTCTCCAGCAGTTTAAACGCGAGGAGGTTTCCCTATCTGGGAGTTTCAGTGCTCACTACTTGTCGATGTTTCTCCTAACTGCTGCCTGCTTGTTTTTCCTAATACTGGGACTGACTTACCTAGGAATGAGAGGGACAGGAGTATCCGAGGATGGAGAACTCCGTAAGTATTAAACCCTGTGGGTAAGGTAACCTTGCTAGTGATCTGCTTTAGATGCACTTAGATGAGGCGACTTTCATCTGCAAAAACGTGGTTTTAACAGCGAATTGAGATGCATGTGACATCTTTAAGAACATTATTTTAAGAACGTTATTACCCTTATCAGAATGATAGTTTATAGTTGCTTTTAAAGTTTTTATGCATGGTGTGAAATTCAAAATAGCTTAGAATAATTATAACGGAGATGAACTTGTATATAACTTAATTGTCTTTTAACCTTAAATGTTTTTGCACTTGGCAGTAACCGAGGGTCTAGAAGTACTATCATTCAGAAATATCACAAATGAGTATTTTTTTCCAAGTTGAGTTATGATTCTACAAGGTGGTACCTCTTGATATCCAAGTTAATTATTTTGTAAAGTAGTCATTGTAGTATTCCATAGAATACTCATTATAGTGTATATATAGTCTTGTAATTTATTTAAAGAAAACGAGTATTTTATTTATTTTAGGGTCTACAGCGTGTTCAGGGTCTCGCTACTAGATGGGACTCTGCCTGTTTGCAGCCTCCCAAGAGCTGGGATTACTGGCACATGCCACTATGACCAGCCTTAAGCCGGGTCTCAATTGCTGTCTCAGCGTCCCTGGGGGCGGGGCTGGCAGCCCTGGGGATCCAATCCCTGGCCCCTGTGCTTGCTTGCAGGTGTTTTAATCCGCTGAGCTATTTGGCTGGCCAAAAAACGAGTATTTTAAAAGCAGTAAGGAATACCTCTTTATTTGCAGCCCAAACTACCTCCCCCAATTTATGAAAAAATAGTGATAAGCCACTTAACGAGCTTGGGTTAAAATTTGTTTGGATTGATTTCTAGGTCCTGCACTTGTTGAATGACTGCAGGCAGGTGTATTCATTCATTCAAGCAGCATCTTATATACACAACGAGGATATAGTTATGAGTCAAATTATTCCTCTTTTTGAATACATAAAAATAAATACAGACTGTGGATGGAGTAATTGGTGTGCACTGCTTTAGACTGAGTGGGCTGAGGAGTCGTACTATTTGCGAGTGAGACCTGGAACTGGAGAAGATGACCTTGTGGAGAGATGGGAGCCTTCTTGGCAGACATTGCATGAAAGGAAAGGCCTTGAGTAAGAGCCTTGTGTAGTGCTTAGACCTTCCAGTTTTTGATCTATAGAATGATGGTAACATTGACTAGGTTGATGCTTGGGAAAATTAAAAGATAGTAAGTTAGTGTGTAATGAATTAATAAATACATGCCTTTCACTATTAGTTCCTCCCTGTTTTGTCCTCAGGATTACTTGCTCTTCTTCCATCAAGAAATTACGCTTGTCAGGGTTTTGCTTATTTTATCATTTTATTTGAAAACAGAAAGTTCTAGTTAACTGACACAAAACAGTGTAAACTTTGATTTAGAACCAATTTCAAGGTACATAAGTTATTAAAATATTGTTTAGTTTATAGGTGTTGGAAGAGAAATGAAATCAAGCTCTTAACTTTAATTGCTTCATTGGGAGCAGAGTGAGGTATGGTATTTGTCCTGTCCCCAAATATTTGGGTGAAAAAATTCAAGGGTGCACTGGACATTAAACAAGTAAACTTCATATAAATATCATTACTTGTACCTACCAGCATCAGTTGTCTATGCGATCTGCTCATTTTCTAAGTGCTCAGTGCTTTTCACATCTTTCTTTCTCACGTAGTCTTTCGATGTTATCTTTATTTTATGAATGAGGATGAGACTAAAGTTAGTAAGTGTACTCGTTATACAATTCATGAGTAGTAGGACTAAGATTTAGTTTGAAATTTTCCTATTATAAAGCTTGTTTTTTAATGCTATTTTGTATATCATTTGTAGAGCTTTCCAGATGAGCGTGCGCCTTTATTTTATCATGGTTAAGAAAATAATATTTGGTAGGTATTTATACAGAATTACTGATGAGCACAATTCTCAATTCCATCTTTTTCATCACTGTTGAGTGAGTAATTAATGCATAAAATTTGAAGTAGAATAGGATAGGACTGCTGGTACTGTTCTCATCTTCATGCAAGTGGCAGGGAAGAGATTATAAAGCATTTTAGATTTTAGCAAATGGTAAATATGAAGTATGAAGTAGCTTGAATAATGGAAAAATAGAGATTAAACAGTTGAAGTGAAGGTACTAGAATTTGCTTCATTTCTAGCAAATAATTAGTAAAAAGTAACTTAATAAAAATAGGTTGATATAAAACCCAAAGATTTAATGAGACTAATTTATATAAAACAATTCAAATAATTAAAAAACTCACATATAACCTACAATTTTCTGGTGAAATTATTAAGCTATTTCCTTAAGCATACTATTTGACCAATGAATATAGACCTTTCACATAATACCCTCTCATTTCTATTCATGTTTTCTGTGTAAGTCACGTCCTTTATAAGTTAAAGACCAGGAGTCTTAACACAGCCAATTTATTTCACTTTGTATTTTGCGGTTAAGCATCATAATATGACAAAAGATTCGGAATCCATAAATATAATGTATTTGGCCAAACTTTTTAAGCTCTGAGCTTCATTCTTAACTGTAAAATGTGAGTAACAATATTTGCTGTCTACAGAGTTGTTATGATGATAATGTGAGATAGTTTGGTTAAAAAAAAATTAAGGTGCTATTATCAGAGGCTCAGATGAAATATGGTATATTTCTGGTAAACTTTATGGTAACTATTTCTGAGATGAAATGTTTTAAGCCATTTTCTGCACTTAATATTTGTAGTGTATTTTTTACTTAGCACTTATTTTTATTCTGTTAAATATATATTGTAGAAATTCAGGCAGAAATTTTGAATCATTGTATGATGAATCCTTACTTGTGGTGTACAGAAGTACCAGCTGGTTCAGTTAGTCTAGTGGTGTTAGGGTTTCAACAGTGACTTAATTTTTACTACTGATACTTATTCCGAATCTTTTGTCATATTATGATGCTTAACTGCAAGTTATAAAGAGGAATAGATTGACTGTGTTAGACTCCTGGTCTTTTAATTTATAAAGGGCATGACTTACATAGAAAATGTGAATAGAAATGAGAGAGTATTATGTGAGTGGGTGTATATTCATTGGTCAAATAGTATACTTAAGGAAGTAGTTTTACTTTGAGTAATAATTTCACCAGAAAATTGTAGGTTATATGTGACAGTCAGTTTTTATTATTATTTGAATTGTGTTTTATATAAATTAGTCTAAATCATTTAATCTTTGGGTTGTATATCAACCTATTTTTATTAAGTTAATTTTACTAATTATTAAATTACTGTTTCTAGATCTAAAACAGAGGTTGGATTATATAATTTTGATTTTTTAAGTATTTTCTCACTTGAAGGTTTAAGGTTCCTACTTAGAACAATCAAATAAACTTCAAGAGAAGCCTGAAATTAGATTGTTTGACTCAGGTAATTAAATCATGATCATTCCACTGCTGCCCTTAAATAAAGGCAGAGCAATTGGCTATTTTAGGTTCATGTCATTATTTTAAAAAGACATGACTTGTATAGAAAATGTGAGTAGAAATGAGTGGAGATTTTATGTATCCTTTTTAGTCTTATTCTCACACCTGATACTAATATATTGAAATACTAGACCCTTTCAGAGTTTCCTTAACATTTTTTTCTTAATATTTTTTATATAAAGTGGTATAGATTCTTGTTCAACTGTAGAATACCTGCTATGCGCCAGTATGAACAGAAATGATACGAATAATATGTGAGTATGTGGAAGATGAAACTTTTCTTTTGGCGCTTATTCTCTAGGAGGAATGGACAAGTAAACAAGCGCTTCAGATACTGCTAGTTAATGCAAAAGGTGCTAGTAACTTTGGAGGGCTGGGCTGAAATAATGCAGTATAACAGACAAGTAGGCAGGCTTCTCTGAGGTGAAATTTGAAATCTGAGTGACTTGAAGGATTTAGGTATTGACAGGGAGCACATCCTGGCAGAAGTGATAGTGCAAGACCAAGAACAAGTTCGTATGTTGAAGGAATCAGATTGTCAGGGTTGCTGGGATATAGTGAATGAAGAAGGAAAAAAAAAGAATGGCAAATGATGAAGTCAGAGAGACGGCACGCTTCTAATCATAATGGACTTTTTTAAAGGGCTATAGGGTAAGTCCGACTTTGAAGTAACATCATGCTCTAGATTTTATGCAACTTGATTATTTTAATGTTTTAAACTTAATATGTTTTCTTGTAACTTTTCCATGTACTAGTTTTACATACAAAGGTATCATTTGAAACTGTCCTCCACTAGTCATTTTCTCATCTTATTAAAATGCTACACTGTGCCTTTCCTGAACTCTGTATTTTGTAGGTGCTACTCTTTTCCAAGCCAGACAATTCATTTTATTTCTTCTTGTATTCACTCAGTCCCACCTAGTTTGATTTTCTTTACCCATAATTGCTTTGTAAGCTGTCTCCCTCAAGACATCAGTTACTCCTTTTCCACTCTACTATTTTGGTAAATTCAGTGCATTAACAACTCCTTGCTTTATTAAACTGTTCTTAACATTTTTTTGTTTTTTAATTTTAAAGAGAATAAAGAAATAAAAATGACAGGATTTTAAAATAAGATAGGAAATTAACAATGATTGTTTCATTGTGTATTGATATCTTCAAAGTAGTTGCTCAGATTATGAGATATAATTACGGTATGCAATATTGATCAAACAGTTAACCATTAACTGTTCCTTTCAATAAACAAATAGAAATCAGTAGTATAATTATCTTAGCTGTCTTGTGTGTGTATGTGTGTGTATATGTATGTATATGTGTGTGTATATATATGTATTTCCCTTTGTTCTTTATTAAACTTTTCTTACAAAGTGCTGCATTACCACATTCTTCTAGTTTTTGTATCCTTTCCTGCCTGTGTTTTAATTTTTAGTTCCTAAAACTATTTTTCATCCTACTTTTTTGCACACATTCCCTAGACAGTTTAATTCATTGTCCTGCA